TGGGCGCCGTTTCACTGACGAGGCAACAGGCCGCCGTATGCATTACTTCTCGCTCACGCCCCGGTAGCTTTGTTGGCACCGTGAGTCAGAATGGTGCCATTGACGGCTTCTACCACATTGACCCCCTGACACTGGAGTACACCAGCCCGCTGGAGCCCCTGGGAAAGTTGGAGCCCCCCATGAGCATCGATGACTTCACTGCGAGTCAGCGCTTCGGGACGGTGCTCAAGGTATGGAACGATACGGTGCAAAAAGGTGGGCAGATGCTTCCAGAGGAGTACTGGGTGAAGCCGCGCCGCCCGCCGACGTATGTTGAGTTTGTCTACCCATTCTTCGAGGTGTATGACGACGGCAGCACCGGCGTTGGCTACATGTACGCAACGATGTTCACGGATGACCTCACGAGCATTCAGTGGTACACCGCGGCTGAAAGCGGCATACGCGTGATGCTGGTGGACCCCAATGCCACGGCGAAGCAGCTTCTAGTTGTTGCGAACAACTGGGGCCAACCGCTTTCCAACGTCACCAACGCATGGTGGGCGGTGGTAACAGGCGCGCCGGTTGACTTTATGCACGTTGACGAAGTGGAGGACCCAATAATGCGCGAGGCACTCAAGCATGTGGACCTTCACGAAGTCATCGCCAGTGGACGCGATCAGAGCGCCTCCTTTCTGTACGGCGGCTTCGACGGACGCGTCAGTGCGAAGAACATTGCCACTGAAACGTGGCGTGGGGTTCCTTCTTGTGGTGGTCACCACGCGCAGCTACTACTTGGGCCCCGTGCTTGTGTACCAAGGCGTTTCGATCGCGGCGGGTATTGTTGTGCTGCTGCTGGTGGCGGTGGCCTGCGTTGCGTTTGTGGAGTGCTGCCTGCTGCGCCCGCTCCGCGCCACGCAGGCGGAACTGAAGCTTGCGCTGAGTGGTGCGCCGGTGGGTGTTAGGAGTCGCCGCCGCGTCGTGCTCAGCGAGGTGCAGGAGCTGGAGGGCGTGTGTAACACGCTGCGTTGCCGCCTCGACGAGATCCGGTCTTACATGCCGGACCGTTTCAATGCGAAGTTCGCAGCTGCTGGCCGCCGCGCCGCACTGCGAAGCGAGTCCGAATTTGGTGGCGGCATCCTGGGTGAGTCGGCAGGTGACGAAATGAGGCACGTGGCGTGCAGCGTCGCCTACGTGTACTACACGCCCCGCACAGTCCGCAACCCCACGAACGCCGTTGTGGAGCTGATGATGCAGGCGGTTGTGGGGGATCGACCACGGACTGTGGCGGGTGCTTCGAAGTGCAGCGCCCCGACTTCTGCGTGATCAGCTTCGGCGTGCAGTCGGGGGGGAAGGAGTTCTCGGCCGAGGCCTCGGACGCGGTGGAGTTTGCTCGGCGTCTGCGCGCGGAGTTGACGGCGTGTGCGGAACTCGCCGGCCTGTACCGCGTGGTGGTGGAGTCCGGCGTGTTTCTCAGCGGCGTCGTTAGTGGGGGCGGCCGCAGCCACTTTGTGCTGCTCTGCCGCTACCTGCACTGCCGGCTCGGTGCGTTCCTGCCGTACGCGGGCGTTGTGGCCGCCGTCACGGAGGAGACTGCGCTGCTTGTGCGTGGGCGCTACCGGCTCTTGCCCTTCGAGACGGCGTACCTCGACGACGCGGCCGCGACGTGCGTGAAGCTGCACGAGGTGATCGACGGCGCCGCGGGCACAACGGCGTGGCAGGACTACGAGCACTGCTACAGCGAGGCGTACGAAATGATGGAGCGCGGCGAGTACGGCTCGGCGCTGCGGTGGTGGGACAAGGCGAGAGCCGTGGAGCAGTCCGCCCTTGCGGAGGAGCCGCCGCTGTGCAGGTCGTCGCAGGCCGAGCGTCTCAAGGGCGAGTGCGTGGCGCGTGTGGCGCGGGACGACTCGGCACCGTTCGCGCGGCGGCCGCGCCCGGCGAGCGGCGAGCCTGACGACGTGGCGTCCAGCGACGCCGTCTCTAGTGCCACCGGCAGGGGCACCGTCAGCAGCGATACACCAGTTTGCGGGGCTCTTTCCGTGGCGACGTGGCGGTGGCTGCGCCAGGAAGCGAAATGGCCAGTTTGGAGGCGGCCGCCGGGTGCCTGCCGCGTCACTTCACGGACCACCTGGGGGGCGTCTGGAAGCGCGCCTTGAGTCCGGTGGAGGAGGGCGCCGCTGACGTCACTCCCGTGTACATGGGCATCTCCGCCACCGGGACGCTCGCGGTGCTGAAGGTGTGTCCGCTGACGGATGCGGCTGCCCGCCTGTCGCGCGCCGAGGTGGAGGCTGCGC